CCGATACGCCATGCGTATCCGATCATATAGATCCGTTGTCAACCGTGTGATGTGGGCCAGCCCGTAGTCAGGACGCCGAGAGAGGGCGTCCGCAAGCACGTTGAGCTTGCTCGGCTTGTACTCGACGCGGAAGTTGTACTTCGCGAAGAAGGACAGCCACCTCGCCATCCGTTTGGAGAGGTGAGGCGAGTTAGTCGCCGGCCTCAAGGATGCGTGGTCTGTGTAGATCACGAAGGGCCGAGAGCCCAGAAGGTGAGCCCGAAACTTCACAAGGGCAGATTTCATTGCCAGGAGTTCCTTGTCGTGGACAGGGTAGTTCCGCTCGGCGGCTTTGAGCTGCCTGGACTGGAACGAGATGACTCGTTCATGTCCAGCCGTGTTGGCCTGCAGCAATGCACACCCGATGGCGTAATCAGAGGCATCGCAGGCGACGCTAAACGGCTTCGTCTCGTCCGGCAGGGTCGGGACTGGGGCTTCTTGGAGACTGGCCTTGATGCTATCAAAGGCATCCTGGTGCTCTTGCTCCCAGTGCCAGTCGACGGCCTTCTGAAGGAGGCCCGACAAGGGCTTAGCGAAGCCCGCGTACCCTGCGCTGTACTTGTGAAGGTAGTTGGCCAAGCCCAACCACTTTCAAAAATCCTTCTGGGATCGGGGCGTCGGCCATGCTGCTATGGCTTTGACCTTGTCTGGGTCAGCCGAACGCCCACGTTTCTTACGAAGAAACCGAGAACTTTAATCTCTGGTGACGCCAAGACGCACTTGTCGACGTTGGCGTTGAGCTTGTTCGCTCGCATCACGTCCAACACGTGACGGAGGTGCCCCAGATGCACCTTCATGGCCGTCTTGCCTTCCTCGGCACGGCTATGGACGAAGATGCCGTCGAAGTACGCCTGTACGAAGGCACGTAATGGCCTAAACAATTGCGTCACCAGGCGATTGAATGTCGCCGGGGCGTTAGACAAGCCCTGCGGCATGACGAGCCACTCCCAAAGCATGTCGCTTAGAGTGCTCACCGAGGTGAGCGGGATATCGCTCTGTCGCATCAGGATCTGGTAGTATCCGTCTACCAAATCCAACGCACTATACAGTACGCTTCCGGCAATGTTGTTTAACAACACATTCATTCGTGGGATTGGTGTTTAGGCCGGCACTGTCGCATTGTTCAGGTTGCTATAAGCATGAACTAGACGCCACTTTCCGTTCGGCTTCCGAACGCAGAACGTGGGCGTCGAGTGCGGGGACTTTGACTCCCGCACCATGCCTGCCTTCGCTTTCGCAGTGAAGAAGGCATCAATGACCTCGCACTGTTCGCGCGGAAGAGGCCATTGCCTCGCGACACAGTACTTTGTGCCAGGCACGAGATCTAAGCTCATGCCGTACGCCTCGATCTGGTGGGAGTTGGGTCGGTGGGTGTTTGTTTACCACATTCGAATACTCCGTCACCAAAGGATACACCGGATCCTTGGGGTTCTTAAGGATCTCAGAGCCCAGGCGCGCCTGACGCTGCTTGTTCAAGTCTTCCGGGACGTCCTCGTCCAAGACATAGGAGGTGTTCCGCTCCTCTCGAGTGGTCTCATGTCTTATGAGCACCATCCCGGCAACCTTTCCAGCCTTGAGGTTGGCCAGAAAAGCCTCGACCGTCATTTACTCGAGGTTCAGTATCTCTGCAACCTCTGGCAACGGTTCCAAGTGGACACCAGATGCCTTGACGGGTAAACCGGTCTCGCCATCGAAGATGTGATAACACTCTTCCACCGGCCTTGTCGGAGGAGCCTGGGCCCTAGACTCCGAGTCGCTTGAAGCGACGTCGATCTGAACGAAGTTCAGATTCGACTTGTGGGTGCGGCGGCGTCGTCGTCGACGGCGACCGTGACGTGGAGCTTTGTTACCCGCGTCTGGGGATGTCGGAGTACCGACATCCGAGGCACACGTCGCCTCGTGTGGTACTGTGTTACCCACACAGGAAGCGTGTCCGACGTCTTCCTCTTCAGTTAAGGTCTGGGCGACCGTGAGTGGCACTTTGATACCCACACAGGAAGCGTGTCCGACGTCTTCCTCTTCCGTTAAGGTCTGGGCGACCGTGTGTGGCACTATTTTACCCACACAGGAAGCGTATCCGACGCCTTCCTCTTCAGTTAAGGTCTGGGCGACCGTGTGTGGAACTCTGTTATTCACCTTTGACACGCTATTGCCAGTGTTCGTGACAGCTGTCAGCTGTCTGCGGAACTATGTTACCCGCTTGTGGACCTAAGTTACCCACTTGCCCAGCCCCTCCTCTGGGCGCTGCCACCATCAAAACATCCTCGGAGTCGTCATATACGTCGACAACTCCCAAGCATCGGCGGGATGCTTTGGTACCCTGGCAACCCTTGCGGGCGCCCCAGGTACTGACAGAGGTGGAAACATGACTCGCCAATGCTCTGTCGGACTGCGCAGGGCGGCTGGCACTAATTGCCTTGCCTCGCCAGTCGACCCAGGGCTCGTGCTTCTCAAGCCAGACAATGCCCAGGATCATATCGTACGGATCCATGTCGAGAACAGTGAGCTGTTCGAGGCTGTCAAAGTCTTCAAATTTGACGGTCAGATCCACTTGGACGTTGGGGACAGTGACGACCTTCCCGTTGGCCAGTCGCACTGACACCGTCCCGTTGCCCTTGCTTTCTCTCAACGCATCGGACAGCTCGTTGCTATTACAAGCAACCGTTTGGCGGCGTGCGAAATTCTTCGACGCCCCAGAATCAATCAGGATTCTAAAGAGATGATCATATCCCCGTACACATCCGTGTACTACGAGCAACCCGCCGCTGCTCTTCGTCGATTCGAGAGTGCGTAGACTCTCAGGGGCTAAGTCCCCGTGGTACGCGCCACCTGCGCGCCCTTCATGAATACTTAGTTCTTCCCCAGTAAGGCGCCCCGCCCCTACTGGTTTTCGGCGTTCCCCTGTCCCCTGGAGCCAGCGACCCTTGAGGACAGGCTTGGGCAAAGACCGTTTGCGGTGTCTTTTCGCGGGACAGTCGCGCTTGAAGTGGCCCATCTTCCCGCAGCCGAAGCCGCGGATGTCACGCTGCTCGGCGGACCCGAGTTCCATGGGAACCGGTCCGTTGGAGCTCGCTCGACCGGGAGTCGACAAAGAACTCCCAGGCCATGCTGAGGCGGGCGTACGCGCCTGGCGATGGCTGTATTCTTCGTGAAGGGCCACTTGAATCACCTTTTCGAAGGTGCTTGACTGCACCCGGAGCACGCTGGACCAACTCGAAGACCGTACATGAACACAGTCATCTTGATGTGTTCGCTGAGTGGGTTTCTTACTAGAAACGCCGTGAGCTCCCGTATCTCTTGGACGTACACGTGCAGCTCACGTCTCCCTTCTTTGCCCGAGAGGAAGCACGAGCGCTGGCGGTACTCGTAGCTCGCCGGGAGGAACGTGGCTCGGAGCAGTTCACACAGCTGAGCCCAGGATGTGAAACATCCAGGGGATGTTGCCTCCCGCATGTACACCCACCTCTTAGCACGACCGCTAAGGTTGGATAGTGACACTTCCTACATGTTGCAATAAAACATGAACGCGTTGACGTTGAATACAATAACGTTGCATTTAAAAATGTAAAAACTGCTTCTTTTGAGCAACGTTACGGAGCAACAATAATTGGCAACGTTTCAATAATGAACACTCCATCATACCAAGATGGTACCCCAGATTATTTTTTCCATGCGTGAAGTCGGGAGATAGACTCCCTACCCAATGCTGGAGGAATAACTTCTGGACGCGTGTCTGGACAACGATGGCACAGGTAATGCCCAGATCGTCTTGAATCATCAAGACTTCCGAGCCGTCGATCTGTTTCAGCGAATGAAGGAGGTTCTGCAGGCAATCCTGAGCACTTGAGTTCGCTTGCATACGTCGCAGGACATTACGAATAACCTGTGAAGATACTGCTCGGCCTTATCACAATATAGACTTGTTAATTATAAAAGTAATTGAATAAAAACATGTAACAAGCCATAGTCCTACTCGCTAAGCTCACTTGAGACATACCCAGCTATTTGACGTGAATTAGCACCCGCATCAGACAAAACTGCGATATTGTCAGCAAGTGGGCCTTCTGAAGGCACTTCCCGAATTCCACGAACAGCCCTGATTGTCTCAGCGTTATGATTGTGAAGGCGCCACTCGTTCTTCACGAGAATCGACCAGACTTTACCCTCAATGGACGTGCTCACCAGTGTGACAAATGCGTCAAATCGAGCCTCACAGCCCGTGTAGTTTGAGTGAGCTTCTCGGTCACCGCTAGCACGTCATGGTTGGGTGACGTCGTAAACACATCATATTTGTTTGAATCCGTACGTAAACCTGACTAGGATTTCGGTTTCAGAAGGACTGGAAACGTACAAGGACCATGCCAAAAATAATTAGTAATATGAACAACAGTTCAGAGCACCAACGTTACTTACTCTGTACAGTTTGCGACCTTGACGCTTGACCAAATTTTAAAGTAAAAGCCTGTTGCTCGGCCGTACGCTTCCAGAGCCGACATCACCTGATCCCATGGCCGGTAGCCTTTTCTTGCATCTGGTTCTGCGTGGGGCGCACACTGTTATGAGCAGCAGCTATCTTCGCGCGTGTCTCCGAAGTCCCACTCTTGCGCTGTCGAGGTTTCTTCTCCTCCATGAAGACCATTCCTTCTGGTACCTGGACCGGAGGTTGGTTCGCCAAAAATCTTCAAAAAGGTCTGCGACTTGGGTGGGGACTTCAGCCGAAGCGGGCCGTGCAACGTTAAGAGGCCTAGCGTTTATGTTCGTAACGTCGCTTTAAGCAGAATTAACGTCGTCCGGCTTATTGTGAAATTCACAGACGACAACGACAACAAATTTTATCCAAGAGAAATAAACCGGTAGGGTATCGGTATAAGTTTCTGTTTATTTTCTTAAGTATGAGATCTGCGAACCGCTCATTTTCGACAACGGGGAGAAAGCGCGAACACGACACGTAGTGGAGCACCATGCGCGACAACGACGGAGAGAACGGGCCTGCGGGTACGGGAGGGAGCGCCCAAGAAGAAGGCGGTGAGCTTGCCGGGGCCCCGCCCAGTCTTTCAGCTCACGATAGTGAGCGTCACTCAAGCGACAGCTCCAATGCCGCTAGCACTCGTGCGGAGCCGGTTATCGAAAGCAAAGCCGTTGTAGACGCGGCTGACAACGGTTCGAGTATTGCACGTCTATCTAAATTCCTTTCTTCATCTAACCATTTTCATTGTTACGCTATAGATACGTCTCCGAGAAAAAAAAGGCGATGCGGGTGCTAGCGGAGGACGTGGAGGGCGTGCTCTCGCTGGTGGAACGGGAAGCGACACCACTATCGCCAGAAGCGCACCTGGCGCATGTATGGACAACTTGTGTCGGTTGCGCGTCACGTCGATGAAGAGGTTGCCCGTAAGGACCCCAGTCGTATCGTACTTTATGTTAACGTTGCTTGAAGCTAACGCTGCTTTTCTTTAGTGTTACTTTACTAACGTTATGATATATTGTGCGAATAACACAGCCAAAACGGTACCAAAATTGGGCGGCAACGCAGGTGGTAATGACACGAGTGTATGCGAGGGCAGAGACGGAGATGATCCGACGCTCGGAGACGCCTCGATAGGCAAAGTTGGCGTTGGTGACGAGGGTGCGCGTCAGGTTGATGAATGGTAAAGACGCAGGTTTGTATTGTACTTTTAATAACGTTGCGGATACCTAACGTTGCTCTGATTTAAAGTTTTGCATTAACGTTTTTTTATATTGAGTGGATAACACAGACAAATATGCGACAGGGTTTCGCGACGACGCAGGTGCCAAATTCGAGGTTGTGTGTGAGGGTGCAGACCGCGGGGGCGGAAACGGAGATGACCCGGCAGTCGGAGGTGCCTTGGAGGGTAAAGCTGATCGAGATTAAGATGGTGTGTGTGTTGCGAAACTGCTTTTGTCCCTCGCTTATGTTTATCGTTGTGTCGTTAACAGAGCGGTGTGATTGGCTTGGTTGTGTGCATAGATCCACGTGCACGACAGTTGTCTGGCGACAAGAGTGATAGCGACAAGGGCAGCAAGTCCGTGATCGAGTGTCCGTCAAGAACGGACGTTGCAATTAAGGGTGGTGCGATTGGTAGCGTGGACGACAACGGTGAGTTATGCTAAAGGGGATAACGTTTGTGAAATTTTAACGTTTATTCATGTTAATGTCGCTCTATTCTAACGTTACGTACCCCATGTAGTAAATTAAAACCTATGCCAGAGCCCGCAGATAATGCAGCTGGTGGCATGGATGCTGGCGGCATGAGAGGTGCTTCTCCGCGCGCGGAATGGGGATTGTGTTGCCAAGGCAGCCATGGCGACCAAGTGCGCGGAAACGCTGGACGTCAAGTCAAGGGTAGTGCTTGTTGTGGTTTAACGTTGCTTTATGTTGCTTTATGTTTGCGATGCTGTGATTAACGTTGCTATTGATAACGTCGCTTCTGGCAGTTGGTACCAAACGAAAGTGCAGTCCATCAAAAGCCGGTGCCTCTTCGCAGTCGACGAAAAAGCTCCGTCTGTACTCGCCCCACGAAGTCGACAGAAGCCCTTCATCAGCTTGCGAGGTTGAGGAGAAGCGTGAGACCTGCATTGAAAACAGCAAGAGGAAGGAAAGTAGCGACGAGGAGCTACTCCCGCACCTTCCGTTTGCTGAACCAAAGCAACCACGCGTGCGTAGCAGCAACACGAAGAAGGAGCGAGAGGAGATGATTGCCTCTCACACCAATGTGGAAAACTACGTCGGGCCAGTTCCAAGGAGAGGCTACGCAACCTGGAAGTCTTGGGAAGTTGCGTATGCAGACTACTGCCGTTCGCAGCGCGTGTACTATCGCGTTCGCACGTCTATAGACGTTGACGAGTACAATCGGTACGACGCTTCATTTGTGGCCATCAACGATTTATTAACTTTTACGCTGTTATCTAAGAATCACACTACGAACATTACAACGGCCCAGTTCCACAAGTTCTTTTTGAGCTACCGGAGTAAGCATGGTGTCTTTCAAAAGCGTTGTGGCGTTGGTAAAAGGAACGCCACCGTAAACTTGACCGGTTGTCCGGCTCGATTTGACCTCGGGCTCATCAACGTGGCTTCGGCTGGTGAGCTCCCACGTCATCGACTCGTTGCTCACAGTGAGTGGCGCATGCACAATAATGCGTCTGAGGAAGCGGCCGCTACAGCTGGTATGAAGGACCCGCCAACACGCGGTGCTATTGTTGACACAGTGGCTGCAATGCATGACAGCTACACCTCGCCCAGCAAATGTTTTGGGTACATGAGTGAGAAGCTGGGTGAGTAGGTTTATGTGCAGAACGCGTTTATGTATTCTTCTAATTGTTTTGAAATTACAAGGCTGTCCTGTCACTTCTCAAGTTGTAAGAAACTTCGTTAGGAAACTTCAAGGTGGAAGCACCGCTCAATCGCGGTTGACGGTGTTGCTCGACACACTAGCAGAAGAAAAAGACTGCGAGGCCATGGTTATCGAGGATCAAATTGGCGTTACGTGTTGTATAATCATCCAGAGTGCTCAACAGAAATTGGCGTTCAAGAATTGGGGGGACACATTGGCAATGGACTGGACGCACGGTACCAACAACGTCGGGTATTATCTGGGTAACATATTTTTTCACTGTTAATCGCTTACATTTCATTTCCAGTGAAAAACTAAGTAATTTGCTTTGTTTATATTTCGTACAGGGAGCCTCGTTGCAACCACGCCGACTGGCCGAGGCTTTCCTGTTCTCGACTTCATGGCGTTAAACCCGAATGCTGTGACTCTGCAGAAAATGTTTGAGCTCTTCAAAAGCAAGAACTCGTCTTGGGTAAGAATCCAGACTGTCATAATTGACAAGGACTTCGTCGAGAGGAGGGTTCTGGAGGACTGCTTTTCTAATGCGAAGGGCCTCCTGTGCCAATTCCATGCCATCACGTATTGGAAAAAGATGTGCCGAAGTGGCTTAGGCTTGCCGGTGGCGGACCAAGACACTGTATAGCGAAACTTTGCAGCAATGTTGTATATGTATAAGATAAATTATTGGTTTATAGCAGATTTATGTTTTAATATTCTGACTTTGTTATGTTTTCGTTTTGGTAGCCCTTCTCTTTCTGAGTTCGAGCGAACGTACAAGCAGTTCTGTGAAAAGAAATGCAAAAACGTACGCTCCTACTTCGACAAAAATTGGAAAGAATGTCAAGAAATGTGGACGAACTATTTGCGGGACAACTATTTTTCCGCAGGGAACACTACTACAAATAGGATCGAGTCCAATTGGCACCTTTTGAAACAGTTACTTGGAAAGAAGACTGTTGTGGACCAAGCAGCTGCTGGAGTGCTGCAGCGGGGCTGCCGCGTCAGAGGAAGACGTTCGACTCAAAGAGTCACTTATACTAAGCTCCTTATCCAAAGGACACGTACAGCCCAGACCAGGGCTCAAAGTTAATACCTTAGCGTATGCTTCAAAACCAGAAATGCATTATTTACTATTATTGCGGCCAAGCCGCCTAGGGGTAAATGTATCTCTTTAACTATCTAGCATAGTTAAACCTAATCAAATGCGTAACGTGTGGCGTTCAGCCAACGTACTGAGAGACCTCGTTAACTCTCCGGGTACTCCGTACCCTGTGTGTTCCACACCATGTAACCCCGTTACTGTGGTGTAGTGATTTCTCCGTAGTTGTGGATTATCACCCGTCGACAAAGACGTGACACCGCCCAAGTTGTTCAAGCGACGAACCCTCGGTCAGCTGATGTACGGAGACGCCAAGGTGCAAGGGACTCGACGGCGTCACTTCCGAACTCTTAATGGATACTGGATACGGTCCATATGTCACTGAATCCAGGCTGTCCTTATTATTAATAATGGACTGGCCGGATTCGCATTCAGCGGACCATCTACGGTACGAACCCTCAGTGGCGGTTGGGATGAGTTCGCGGAAGGCTCAGCGACCCTTAAAAAGCACGTACACCGTCTGGGACAGGGCGCGAGCCGTTAAAGATGCTCATGCGACGGTGCAGACGACGCTTGGATCCATAACGGATCATTGTTCACTTGATATTTGTATACTTGATTAGGACTTCTTATTAGGAATAGACCCGAAACGGTAAGCTTAAATACAGAACAGAATTTCCACTCAAGCACACAGAGCGACGTCCGGCTTCAAGGTAAGCGTCTGGTCAAGTGTGTTATGCCTGTCGGTGAACTCGAAGCTCTGTAGCGAGGGTTCATCCGGCAAGGCCAAGAGACTTTATGTATTGGCCGATTACTATCGGGAGGTTTTACGTGACGGCTTATTGCTGCCTATTTGCACGACTGGGAGTGCTTGAATTGCCTCCCTTTTATTCTTCCAACCGAGTGTTGAACACTCGGTGATCTCGTAAAAGGCTTACCCGTGCCTGGTACCCTTCCGCTGTTGGGACCACGAGGATTCATAACACCTGCTAGCTTTGCTCGTGCTAGTAGCGTGTTCTTATTTTTACTGGTTGGCCTATATAAGTAGTTTACAAGGTCCAGTTTGTCCCGGTGCAAGGGCAGAACTGGGGTCTTCAGGTCCGCCCGAACGATCGTTTACTATCCTAGTAGACGTATTGTTGTGGGAACGTCCTAACTACATTTGTAGCTAGAGTTCACGTGGGAATTCCAACACCACAACTGGTGCCGCGACCCGCGAACAGATTGTGACCATTGTGAGCTGTTTGTATGGCCTTCCAGTTTACGAGCTCCCAATAGAAGAAGAACAGGAAAACAAAAACAAGAAACATGGCGAAAGGACAACCGACGGTACCAGCTACGCCTGCGAAGTCTGGCGGGGCTCGCAACGAGAGTTTAAGCCCGGCTGCGCGCTTTGCAGCCGCCACCGAGCTTTCGGTGAGCTTCGACGACGAAGCGGACATCGCTCCTGACGCCCACGATTATGAAGATTACGAAGACAAGACGCCGGCTCCAGAGCCAGGCGCAGCGACGCCGGAGACGGCCACGCTATCATCGGGGCTGAGAGGGACGACCAGGTCTCTTTCGAGGAACCTCGCCGACGAGCTCGATGATGTTGCAGGACCGGAACCTGCCTACGATGATTATGACGATGGGACCGAGGGTTCTAAACCTTCGGTGGCGAGTGCAAAGCATTCAGCACTGCTGAAAGCACCTCGCCCACCTATCAACGGTGATACACCAGCCGCCAAGCGTGTTTTCGACCGCGTACAAGCGCTGATGCAGAATGATGAGTGGATGCAGCTGTTCAAGCCCATCCCCAAGAAAAAAGCCGACTGGCCTGCGCTTGCGCAGGAACTTCAATACCCAGTCGACTCGGTTTCGACTAGCCAAGTTGCCGAGGATTCAGTTTCGCTACTGTTGTCGCTGGGCTCCGAGAACGAGACGTACCCATCGACGATGTCGCTCCAAGATTGGAGTCCACATGAAGCCGGAGCTGCTCTCCAGAAATGGAAGAAGAAGCTTCGGAAGGCGTTTGGCGCTGTTGGCATCAACGCCGGAAAGCAGCCTGTGAGTCGACCGATGATTCAAGATGAAGATCCGTCCACGATTCCACTGCCGCCGACACCCCAACGACTCGTCCGTACGCCTCCGAACAAGCGTGGAACTGAGCGTGGTGCATTTGGCACTACCGAAGCTTCACCGTACTTTCAAGACTCGCACATGGTTACGCCACGTTCGGAGAGCCGTATGCAGCGTATTTACGCTGGCAACGAGGGTTCGTTCGGTCGCCGAGGTGATCCGCGAGCTCCCAAAGGTGGTGCCAGACGTCGTCAAGTCGACAGCGATGGTTCGTCCAGTGACGATGACATTTTGGTGCGTACATTCGACGAGGAAGATCCTCAAGTCGAGTTGATGCGTCAGATGAATGAGATGGCGACGTGACACTTTGTCAATATTGGAACGCATTTGTTGTGAGCTTGTAGTTCGCCCACATACTACAGCAACTTTTCCAGTTTTTGTTGAAATACTTCAGCACGGCAGCATGACGCCCCATCGAAATACAACAAGTTCATTGTGCCACCGTAAATAAGTCACCTCGGTTGGACTAGATAACAAACAAAAAGTCAGCTCAGATAATTCAGCAATAAAAAGCTGCTTACCTGTACAGAATGTTTGCAAAACAGCGTTGAACCACGTCACGTTCTGCGGGGTTCAAGCTAAACTTCGATCCAAGCATTTTCTTTTTACGAAAGAGCGTGAAATTGGCAAAGTAACACTTTGGCGTCTGGAAAGCACGACTCCAGTACTTGCCATTTCACAAAATGTTTGTCAATGACGACCGTTTGAACTTTTTCCCACAAGCCTGTTTTTTTGCTTTGAAGAAATCGAAAATAGCGGTCATCGTGTCTGCTCTCTGGGTTAAAACCAAAAATTCCAGGACAGGCATGCCGCGTCCGGTAGGTCCGGTAGCCAAAGTGAAAAGGCCTGAAATGTATATCGAATAAAAATAAGCGTGTCAGATGCAGGAGTCCCGAAAAAAAATGGACAAATGTATTTGAGTTTATTATTGACATAATAATGATAAAATTTCGTCTTGATAGGATAAAAAAACAATTGCCTCGCGATAATATGTACTGTAACGGGGTACGTAGCCCTAAGTGTACCCATTGTTACATGAAGTGTGACACATCACACTTCAGAAGTATGACACGTCATACTTCGGAATATTTGGTACAAGGTACCAAGGTCGTCCAAAGCCAACCATTGGCTGATGACATTGCTTTTCTATAGGCGACTTATAGCTTGTATATTTAACTCAAGCTTAGCATACCTATAAATATACTCAGTTTACAACCTACCTTACATTGGTCACTTCGCTCCCTTTACGCATTAGGGGACCTGTGAACTGCCGTTCACTGAGCGTTTGTATACTCTCGGAAGCTAACTTCCTCTAGCGCAAGGTGCTGTGTGACCCCGTCACACTTAGTAGCACTCGTAGTCAATCCACGCCAACGCGGGTAGACTACCTGAACCTCTCCGAAGTTCGTTGCCATGGATAGGAACGACTTCTCCCATATGAACGACTCACAGTTCGAGTCGGTTCGGAAGATGGCAGGCATCTTCGGGATGAAGGCCCTGCAGAGCCTGGTGGTGTCAACACCGGCCGAGCAGCTCGAGCGCGTCAATGCGTTTGCCGCGTGCTGAACGACGTGGACCCGACACCGAGGATTGAAATGGCATCGCATCGACCATTGGAACGCATCACGCCGCTCTCAGGCTCTCGCAAAAAGAGCGAGAACTGTATGCAGTGGTTCCGTGGGTTCGTCTATGAAATGACTGGAACCCACACAGATGCCGACAAATGGTGCATTCCATTTGAGCTAAGGATCCGGGACGGAGCCATTCATTGGTTCCGTCAACTCCCGAAGAAGACGAAGCGCAAGTGGAAGCTGCTGAGCGATGCGTTCATCCGCTACTACAGCTCGCAGTTCACGCAGACGGCACCGTCACGTTACTACTCTGCAAAGCGGGAACGCAATGAACATCTGTGCGACTACATAAACAAGCTGAATGGCTACGATTGAACCGCCCGTCTACACTTTGAGAAGACTGGTCGCGACGCCTAAGAACACGTACAGCAGTTCCTGGCAACATGCGATCATGATAAGCTAGCGGAGAGTCTCTACCATGCTCGAGTCGCCGACATTCACGAGCTCGAAGAGATCATCGAAGATGTTCTCAAGGGCAAGGCGAGATAGGCCAAGCGCGACAGTGAGTATCGATACTCCAAGAATCGTGACGCGCGACGCGACGATGGGTACTCCCGCAACAATCGGCGTGATGACCGTCGCCGCGATGACAACCGCAACAAACCAAGCGTGACGCTCATTGAAGCCACGGTGGACGACCTACTAGCTGAATTAGAAGGTCGTGAAGCTGCTCAAGGAGGCAACGAGTATTCAAACGAAGATCCGAACGCTTACGACAATGTCCAAGATGAGTACAACGACTTTCAGCCCGATAATACGGATGGTGATTTCTCATTGGACGAAAACGACCGATACCTCGCCGCTGCTAACGAAAATGAGCGCCGTGCAGCTGCTGAAGGCACCTACGCACGTTCAGACAACCGTCAACCATGTGGAAACATGCCTGATCGCGATAATGGCTTCAATCA